GTTGGGACACTATGTACTTCTACTAGTAACCATTTCACTGTCTGTTTAATTTGTCACCAGGGATGTTAGCCTTTCTTTGTGAAATGTTTAGTATAAATTGAAACAGCTATGCAACTAATAAGAAAAAGGATTGCTTCCTTTTCTAGCCTACTATTAAATACACTATTTTTCCACAGGTTTCCATTTCATGACAGGCCAAGGCTATAGCAGTGGGTAGAAAATGTCAGGTGGATGGATTGGGAACCCACCCGACACTCAACTCTGTGCCCATCACTTTGAAAATGAGTGTTTTCGGCGTGATGACATGGGAAGAGTCATCCTCACCCGGATTGCTGTGCCCACTATTTTCTCCTTTTCCAGTTCATCAACAAAAGCGGTCACAAGGCCCCAGGGAAAAACAAAGGAGTAAGGTAAGTACAGAGGTAAGTGGCAATGTTTATCATGCTGCATATGATCACACATACTGTGCTGAGGTTGAGGATCTTGATGAGGTAGAGGGAGTTGATAATGATGATGCAGACATTGATCACAGCGATATCACTGTGATGCTGGATATGCATGATGATACTACTTTTGTCAGATGTAGGCCTACATCACAATTATATAGCTGTGATGGTAGATGTATGTGAGGAAAGTGTGGCGTCAGACTCTATCGATCATAGTTATGCCGTTCCGGACACAACTTGTGTTCCTGAACACAACTACACTGTGATGGATGGAATCTCCCAGAACACTCAAGCGTAACCTGAGGTCAGTAGGAGACAAACTGGAAACATGTCGAAATAAGTTAAAATTGGAGAAGGAAAAAACTAAATATCCACTGTGTGTCGAATGTGCGCCAATGACGGCATCCTGCATTTGTTCCATTAATCTCTTAACCGCATCTATGTTGTTAACTAACATAGTAGACAAAGACAAACAGCCCACTCATGGCCTGTACCTTGACGTGGTGAGTGGGCTTCAAACAAGACAGGCCGTTCATTTATCATTTCTTTAAAATGTTCAGATAACCACCTGTGTGTGTGCCCTTTCCCTCTCCCTTCTGCAGGACCACCTACTGTGTGGATCCAGGTGTGACTGTCACAGCTGCAACATAACTATTCAACATGACAGAGTGAGTAGTTATTGGACATTGAGTGTGACTTGAACTATGAATACTGCTCCAGTGTTAATGTTATTGTGTGGCACTGGGTGTGCTGTGTTTTGGTAGCTTTCGTTATATTCAGGTGACCTGACTAGGACGCAGTGTGGCAGCTCTACCCACCTGGTGGCCTGTAATTGGCTGGTATCTTATCTGCAAGAAGAATGGAGGCAACAGACACAATGGCATGACGCCACCCAGGAGGAAGCCCTGCAAAGAGGGAAGATTTTTATTGGCGTGTAGTTATTGGAGTGTCATTTACAGTTTGTTTTTATGTTCACATGCCACTTACCTGAGGTCCTCCTGTGTGTTCCAGTCTCCTGACGCCCGACACCACTGCTGCATCTTCAGCACAGACAACCCTTCACACTCCTCTAGCTTCTCACGTAAACAGGGATGGACTTTTCAAATTCCTTCATTAGAGTGTGACAGCTAACGTTGTTAATCACATGCCATTTATCCTACTTCCACTTGTGTGTTCCAGGTTGCCTGTTGCCGGAGCTCCAGAGACTTTGCCTAGCTGACTAAAGTGGAGCTGCAGGCCGCTGATGTCACCAGGCAAAGTTCCCACAGTTTTGCTGAGCAGAGAGGATCCGAGACGGACAAACTTGGCAGAAAATCAATGGGACAGTAGTACAGCATATTGGTTAAATGCAAAGATTCTCTTTTTTATATTTTACTCTCTACATGTGGTTATGTGTTGTCTGACTAGTACACCCTACTGTCTTTTGAGTTGGCTTTAGTTCTGCATTGAACACATCTTTAGCATTGAATTTAGTTTTTCACTAAATACATACAGTAAATTGAATGTTCTGTGTTCTAGTGTCCCTGTGTGTCTGCTCCTACTGTAACTATGAGGTCGCTGAGCTGTTGGTGAGAAACAGGGCATCGGTCAACGTAGCTGACCTGTGGAATATGTATAACGATAAAATGTTAATGACTCATCCATCTGTCTGTGTGTATCCCCACCAATAATAACTGTGACGGTAACATGTCTTTGGACATGGTGAATGAGGGAGACTCGGGCATCCAGGACCTGCTGGAAGGAGATGCTGCCCTCCTGGAGCACGGGGCTGACGACAACACTCAGCTCAAAGGGGGCTCATCTCCCTGCACAACACAGCCTCATATGAGGTGAGTCACTACAAAGATTATATCAGGCCTTTTGAAGACGTTTTACATGCTGTACAGTTTGCCATAAGGTTTTTACATAGACATACAGTGAGGGGAAAAAAGTATAATTGTAATGGTAGGTTTATATGAACAGTGAGAGACAGAATAACAACAAAATAATCCAGAAAAACGCATGTCAAAAATGTTATAGATTGATTTGCATTTTAATGAGGGAAATAAGTATTTGACCCCTCTGCAAAACATGACTTAGTACTTGGTGGCAAAACCCTTGTTGGCAATCACAGAGGTCAGACGTTTCTTGTAGTTGGCCACCAGGTTTGCACACATCTCAGGAGGGATTTTGTCCCACTCCTCTTTGCAGATCTTCTCCAAGTCATTAAGGTTTCGAGGCTGACGTTTGGCAACTCGAACCTTCAGCTCCCTCCACAGATTTTCTATGGGATTAAGGTCTGGAGACTGGCTAGGCCACTCCAGGACCTTAATGTGCTTCTTCTTGAGCCACTCCTTTGTTGCCTTGGCCGTGTGTTTTGGGTCATTGTCATGCTGGAATACCCATCCACGACCCATTTTCAATGCCCTGGCTGAGGGAAGGAGGTTCTCACCCAAGATTTGACGGTACATGGCCCGTCCATCGTCCCTTTTGATGTGGTGAAAATGTCCTGTCCCCTTAGCAGAAAAACACCCCCAAAGCATAATGTTTCCACCTCCATGTTTGACGGTGGGGATGGTGTTCTTGTGGTCATAGGCAGCATTCCTCCTCCTCCAAACACGGGGAGTTGAGTTGATGCCAAAGAGCTAGATTTTGGTCTCATCTGACCACAACACTTTCACCCAGTTCTCCTCTGAATCATTCAGATATTCATTGGCAAACTTCAGACGGGCCTGCCGGTGGAGGGCTGGCAGGCCATCCAAAATAGACAAAGCAAGGACATCTGTAAACAATGTGCTTATCACATTTGTTCAGGGTTTGGGAGGGCACTGGGTAAGGTCTGCATGCTTCCCAGCCGAAACAGTTCGGAACAGTTTTGCATATATTATGACTACATTTTGTGATGTTTTTGGCTGTTTGGGCACATCCAAAAAATTACTGAGGAAAGCCGAAGTCTACGCCACCTCGTCGCCGATTGGTCAACAGTAGGGATTCTTTAATGAAGTGCCTGTTGTCATTCAACGAGAGACGACTCATCCTCATGCACATATTTTCACTTGAGAAATAATGCACCAAACAGTCAGATGCAAAATTCCGCGATGACTAAGATCTCCTCTGCAAAAATGTTGTGTGGGTGTCCTATGCTGAGGCAGTGAAGAAAGTAGAGGAAGATGGGTCAAGGGGGAAGGATCCTGAGAGGATTTGTGTGAGTAGTAGATCTGTGCCAGCACAGAGGGATAGGCCAACAAGTGATACACTACAGTTGAAGTCGGAAGTTTACATACACCCTAGACAAATACATTTAAACTCAGTTTTTCAAAATTCCTGACATGTAATCCTAGTAAAAAGTCCCTGTCTTAGGTCAGTTAGGAGTATTTGGTAGCATTACCTTTAAATTGTTTAACTTGGATCAAACGTTTCGGGTTTTGAAGCTAAGCAGGGTTGGTCCTGGTCGGTCCCTGGATGGGAGACCAAGGCTGCAGTCCAAACATGTTAATTTTACCCCTTCAGCCCTCGCGCTAGCCATTTTCCCTCAGGGAATCTCAGTCGAAACTGGATGCAGTTTGATTGCCATCTTAAGTGGAGGTCCAATTCACAAACGTTGTCCCCTCGATTTAGCTTGAGGGAAGAACTTGTATCACTTGTGGGGTTGAAAGTGAGGGGCCTATAAAACATAGCTAGCTTCATAAACATATTTTTGGGAATTCTGAAATGTATTGGAATAAATGACCAATCTATAAAAATAGCTAGCCAGCTATGGGTAACTGTAGCTAGCTACCTGACAGGAGTGCTAGCTAGCTACGTTAGCTTGCTAGGTACATTAATAGCTTTAGGTTGGTTGTTTTTAACTTCAAGATTTCCACCAAAGGAAATTGCCTCTCAGATCATTGCTCTCCCTCGCTTTGGCAATGGACATTTAAGGTATACTCGGATGTGACGATGTAAAACGTAATTCAAGGGCTGAGGGTATAGGGCCGAGGGCTTCCTACTTTGCCTTTGGACTGCAGCCCAGATGCTGCTGGAAGTGGTATTGGAGGGCCAGTAGGAGGCACTCTTTCCTCTGGTCCCAGGGCAGTTATTGGGGACATTATCCTTTGTGGGGTTCCGTCTTTTGGATGGGACATTAAAAGGGTGTCCTTACTATCTGTGGTCACTAAAGATCCCATGGCACTTATTGTAAGAGTAGGGGTGTTAACCCTGATGTCCTGGCTAAATTCCCAATCTGACCATCATGGCCACCTAATCATCCCCAGTTTCCAATTGGCTCATTTATCCCCCCTCTCCCCTGTAACTATTCCCCAGGTCTTTGCTGTAAATGAATGTGTTCTCAGTCAATTTACCTGGTAAATTAAGGGTAAAAACAACACAAAAAAACGAGCTAATCATCTACAAAAACCATGTACAATATTTTAGCTGAGTCAATTTCAAAATGCTTTATAGGCAATATAACAATGCATTAATCTTAGTGCTAGAAATATTTTTTCCGAGCACAAATGTTGCTGTTAGGGAGGATATTTATGTATCCTCGCCACAAGAGGCTCTCATAAATGACTGATTACGTAACTGCCGCATTTTATTACTAAACAACATCCGGTTAGCATCCATAGCTACTTGTTTGCAACCAAAATCCCTGTGCTTGAATTTGCATCTATGTTATTTGACGTTTGCCACTGACTGTTCAGATTTGCTAAAAGAAGGTGCTGTCACTTGAAAGGGGCAGACAAGATAACTACTTTGGCTCAGGTAAGGAAATCGATTTTGTTAGTTACGTTAGCTAGCTTTGGCAGAGCAAGCTAGCTAACCAGAGCTAGCTGGCTAACGCAGGCAATTTATTTAATATAAGCTTCCCGCGGCGTATGGCTATTTAATAGGGTCAGTGACTGAGCTACGCGCAAATGTCAGTGAGATAAATAAACGGGCTAATTAACGTTAGACGGCAGCTACATCAGTTGTGAAGTTACTAAGTATGGGGTGACTAACGTCAAGATGGCGACAAGTGCAGTCGCCTAATTTCACCTTGAATAACCCTCTCAAACTTCTGAAGCTGTGAAAAACGGTTTAAAAGTAAGACTATAAAAAAATTCCTCTATTAGTGGAAAGAACCTGCTAACATGTCGGAGTAGGAGAGAAAAGGCAAAGCGAAATGGAGTCCGTTCAGAGAGCAAAAAACAGATAATAAAAAACAGATTATATTATCATAAGGAAACGTATACCTGGATAACGGAGGAGGAATGGAGGGGAAAAGAGGCAGAGGAGGTCTAAGAGAGAGAGAGATGGAGGAAGACTGAACTTGAGTCTGTTAAAAATGGCGGAAAAAAAGAAGGTTTGTTAAAGAAGAATGGTAGGAAATGTAAGCAAAGTGAGCTGAAGACAGGAGGAGAAATGGAAGTGAATGAGGGTGAAGTATCGGAGGTGGAAGTTGTGGTGAAGGACTCGGAGCCCGAGGATTGCACAGAGGGTCAAGATGAAGATGAGTCTGTGACAGTAGGAGTGAAGTTTTTGGAAAAAGTGGAGCCTTGCCTTTTGGCTGATCTATTTGTGGTTTCAAGTTGGGTGAAAAGAGCTTTGGGTAAGCCCCGTGTAGCTCAGTTGGTAGAGCATGGCGCTTGCAATGCCAGAGTTGTGGGTTCGATTCCCACGGGGGGGCAGTATGAAAACAAATTATGCACTCACTAACTGTAAGTCGCTCTGGATAAGAGCGTCGGCTAAATGACGTAAAATGTAAAATGGGTAAAGTGGAATTGGTGAGGCTAACCAGAAATGGTCTAGTGATAATTGTTTGTTTCTGTTGGTCAGAGGGAGAAGGCGCTCAGATTTAGACAAATGGGGGAAAGAATGGTGAATTGTTTCGCTCTCAAGAAAAGGGCGCCATTGAAAGGAGTGATTACTGGGGTAGCAGTAAATGTAAAAGTTGACCAACTGAAGGGGAAGATTCCCGGTGTGTGTGATGCTCGTCGTTTGGTGCGACACAAACAGGGGGGCGAGAGTGGGGAAACAGAGTCGTCATTGTCTGTTCTTTTGAGTTTTGAAGTTGAGTCTTTGCCTGATAAAGTGAAGTTAGCGTATATAAGTTATCCTGTACGAGCTTATGTGCCAAATACATTACGATGTTACAGGTGTCAAACTTATGGGCGTGTGGCAGCAGTGTGTAGGAGGGAGATTCCAAGGTGTGAGAAGTGTGCAGAAGGGCATGAGACACAGGAATGTGTAGCATTGGGGAAAGTAGTGGTATGTGGTAATTAAAGGGGTGCCCATGGGGCTGGGGATCAGAAATGTCCTGTGCGAGAAAGGCAGGTTGAGGTTTCCAGGGTAAGAGTAGTGAAGAAGTTGTCATATGCTGAGGCAGTGAAGTAAGTAGAGGAAGGTGGGTCAAGGGGGAGGAGTGGTGAGAGTAGTAGAGGTGTACCAATGCAGAGGGATAGGCCAACAAGTGATATATGTTTCAGTAAGATTGGATTTTTAGCATTTGTAGCAATGGTTATTAATTGTACTGCATGGATGGAACGTAAGTCTAAGAAAATTGAGGTTGTGGTGGCAGCTGCAGAGAGGAATTTGGGTGTGCGAGACTTGACATCAGAAGAGTTACAGGGAGTGTTAAGTGTTGATGTTCCATCATCTCAGGTTGAGGGCATGAGGTAGGAATGAATATATTTAAATAGTGGAGTGGGGTGGTGTTAATTATTAATAATAATTTTGAATTTGTGAGTGTACTGTTAGATTGTAGGGTATTTCTTTATTTTATTTTATTTTCCAAGCAAAATATAAGGGAGTTGTACACCAGTCTAGTAGGTGGCGGTAATGCAACAAATTGGATGCCAACCGCCGTTAAACCTCATCGAAGAAGAAGAAAAGGCAAAGCTAGCCACAAGGATGCTGTCAAGAATAGAAACGCTAGCTAGCCTAGCTAGCGAACATGATTACTTGAGCGCAAGACAGACATCCCTTGGCCCTGACTCATCTGAGGACGAAATGCTTACTGATGGGGAAGGGGTTTTGAGTGACTCGGATACCGCAGTGAACAGACTCAAATACAGCCCTGCCCAGAAGATGAAGCGAAAGGATCTCCCCTTTATGATCTGCAGGCGAACATCATCCAAGGAGTTATGGCTAAAATAAACGAGAGGGCTGACAACCTGGAGAAGATGGTGAAGGAGAATGCATTATGCATCGAAGCGCACAAAGCGTCTGTGAATTTTGCGTTCAGCGAGATTCAAGACATCAAGAAACGGGGTTCCAGAGGAGACCAACGAAAATGTAAAAGGAAAGGTGATAGATATCTGCCTGAATGTGGCACCTGGGCTTGGAAAGAACTACATGGAGAATGCTGTGGCTGTTGCCCATCGCCTTGGGAGGAAAACATAAAACTAAATGGTCCTGTTTGCATTCCGTACAGCGAGGTTTTTTTTTTTTTTTTTTTGTAAACCGTTAAATTCCTTAATCCCAGAGAGGGAAAGGTTGGATTTGCAGAGGGTTCTTATTTTATCTCATTTTATTTGACTTTTAATGGATTTGAAGCTGATTACTGTTAACGCCAGAGGCATACTCAATTTGGTGAAGAGGAAAGCTTTTTTTCTATTTTGTAAAGCCTTATTTTTGTACAAGAGACGCATTCATGCTCGGAAGACAATACTTTTTGGAAAAGTCCAATGGGGTAGTGACAGTGGTTAGCGAACGGCTCTAATCATTCAGCGGGGATTGACATTCTAGCCCACAATTTTAAAGGCAACGTTTTAGTTTCTAAAGCAGACACTAAAGGACAGTGGTTATTGATATTGCTGATAGACAATTTATACTGTGTAATATACACCGAGTGTACAAAACATTAAGAACACCTTCCCTTTTGCCCTCAGAATAGCCTCAATTCGATTGGCCATGGACTCTACAAGGTGTCAAAAGCATTCCACAGGGATACTGGCCCATGTTGACACCAATGTTTCCCACAGTTGTGTCAAGTTGGCTGGATGTCCTTTGGGTGGTGGACCGTTCTTGATACACAGAGGAAACTGTTGAGAATGAAAAACCCAGCAGCGTTGCAGTTCTTGACACAAACCGGTGCACCTGGCACTTAATACCATACCCTGTTCAAAGACAATATTTTGTCTTGCCCATTCACCCTCTGAATGGCACACAAACACAATCCATGTCTCAATTGTCTTGAGTCTTAAAAACCTTATTTAACCTGTCTCCTCCCCTTTATCTACACTGATTTTGAAGTAGATTTAACAAGTGACATAAATAAGAGATCATAGCTTTCATCTGGATTCACCTGGTCAGTCTGTTATGGAAAGAGTAAGTGTTCTTAATGTTTTGTGTATATGGATATTTCTGAAATGCCCCAAATGATGAAGAATGAAGAAATTTACTAATGGTTAAAATGTTTGTTGGAAAGATATTCTACATCAAAACTTGTTGTTGTTGAGGATTTAAACATGCTAATGTATAACGAAATTGATAGGCTGACATTTTGATCCGAATTTAGATATGGTTGATATCTGGAGGGTAAGAAAATCCATCAGATGTACAATTTACTTGGCGTAACAAAGATTTTTCCTTAGTCTAGAATTGACTTATGGATGATATCCTCCAGTCTTAAACCATATACTACTGAAGTTTATATTTTGCCAGCAGTTTTGCCAGATCACAAGGTTGTAGTTTTAAAATGGAGTAATTAGTGACCATGGTGAGTGTTTTACAAGAGGCTATATGAAATAGAATGAGGGCTGGGAGATATGGCCAAAATATATATGATATTTAAAAATATTGACGGTATTTTATGTTTTTGGCTAATAAAAGTTTTGAATATGTATTATGAGTAGTTCATGACCCTAGGGTGGCAACAAATAAACTATAAGGGATTTCTCCATTCAGATTTTGCATTTCCTGCACTTTTGTTATCATTTCCACACTGTGCCACGCAGGGCTGCATGATATGGGCAAAAATCTAGGCCTAGTTAATTGAACTGTTGGAATCATGGAATTATAATTATTATTCTAATTCTATAGTGGGCAGCACCTTGAATGCATTGTTTGACATGACAACGAATGAATAAGCCAGGGAGGAATTATTGACCGGGTAGGATCCAAACTGCTTTGCTTTATCTTGGCCAGGTCGCAGTTGTAAATGAGAACTCGTTCTCAACTGGCTTACCTGGTTAAATAAAGGTTAAATAAAAAATGAAGTGTTGGGCAATGTTTCCAGGGGACCCTAATTATGTTACATTCCATGTTGTCTTAGCCAGCTAGCTAATATATTCATGTTTCACCTATTCCTCTCCGATTTTAAGATACCATTGCACAAACAATATGCTTATCTAGGCCTACACCAGCACTGGTACCAGGCTGTATTTGCTATGCATGTTTGCTCTGACTCTTAGCTAGCTAGCTAAATGTACTAACAAAATTTATTTTAGTCACAACTTGCTAAGAAAAATAAAACTAGCAGACCGTAGTTTGCAGACAGTAAGATACTCAAACTAATATTGTAATTGTAGAACACTTGTGGAAAGCAGCATTGTTTTCACCATCTTTCTGCATCTATCTGACCATGCTTACTGAAGAGTGAACGGCAATAAAGTGTTTGACTCTGTGGTCGAGCAACTGCTCTCTCCTTGAGTGATAGGGTGTGGGAAGCAGCAGGAGGAGAGAGAAAGACGAGTAGCAAACAGAGTGAACTATACAAATGGACATTACACCCGCCTGAGTTGCGTATCACCTTTAACAAAACAAACATTGAAATACCGTTATAGAAGGTAAAGTAAAAACCCAAACCGGTCCATGCATTGATACTGGTATATAGTAAAACTCTTTAATGGTGGTAATAGTTGTGTTAAACTTTCCTGTGGAACCTCACCTAGATTTGATATTCATAGAAGGATTCGTCAGGGCTGTCAAGATCTCAGAAATGGTTTATTCAATGGTCACCAAGAGTCAATTTGAAAGAATTGTATGTGATGAAGAGGTGAAGATTTCCCAGTTAGCTGACGATACAGCACTCTTTTTGAAAAATGAAAATCAGTTTCCAGTAGCCCTACATACAGTAGAGCAATTCTCTCAAGTGGCAGGTTTGGTATTGAATATTGCAAAATGTGAAATGTTAGCATTTAAAGAAGCAGTGTCCTAGAATATGTTAAAGTTCTGTCAAGGATGTTGTAACCTATTTAGGTGTCAATATTACCCAAAATACTAATGAAATAAATTAATGTAAAGTGCATTCGGAAAGTATTCAAACCCCTTGACTTTTTCCACATTTTGTTAGTCTTTTCTAAAATTGATGAAATTTACTCAGTACTTTGTTTAAGCACCTTTTGGCAGCGATTACAGCCTCGAGTCTTCTTGGGTGTGACGCTTGGCAGACCCATTCTTCTCTGCAGATTCTCTGTCAGGTTGGATGGGGAGCGTCGCTGCATAGCTATTTTCAGGTCTCTCCAGAGATGTTCGATCGGGTTCAAGTCCGGGCTCTGGCTGGGCCACTCAAGGACATTCAGAGATGTGTCCCGAAGTCACTCCTGCGTTGTCTTGGCTGTGTGCTTAGAATCGTTGTCCTGTTGGAAGGTGAACCATCGCCTCAGTCTGAGACCCTGAGCACTCTGGAGCAGGTTTTCATAAAGGATCTCTCTGTACTTTGCGCCGTTAATCTTTATCTTGATCCTGACTAGTTTCCCAGTCCCTGCTGCTGAAAAACATCCCCACAGCATGATGCTGCCACCACCATGCTTCACCGTAGGGATGGTGCCAGGTTTCCTCCAGATGTGATGCTTGGCATTCAGTTCAAAGAGTTCAATCTTGGTTTCATCAGACCGGAGAATCTTGTTTCTCATGGTCTGAGAGTCCTTTAGGTGCCTTTTGGCAAAAATTTGGAAAAAGGGAAGTGGTCTGAATACTTTCCGAATGCACTGTAAATCCCTTTATTGAATCTATAAAAAATAATTAATTCATGGTTGGCAAGTGATTTATCTCTTCAGGGTAGAGCTCTCCTCTCAAAGGCAAGAGGATTTATCTCGAGCTTCTTATCTTTTTACAACTTTAGAGATTCCCAAGTCTACGTGTACAACACTCAACAAATTATTCAATTTCATTTGGAAAAATAAGCCACACAAATTCAAGAATGATGTCATTATCAACAATATTTGTAGTGGTGGTCTTAAAGTTTTAGAATTTACGCTGTTTAATCAGACTACAAAGGTGAACTGGATTAAGAGGTACAGTACCAGTCAAAAGTTTGAACACACCTACTCATTCAAGGGTTCTTTATTTTTACTAGTTTTTACATTGTAGAATAATAGTGAAGACATCAAAACTATGAAATAACACATGGAATCATGTAGTAACCAAAAAAGTGTTAAACATATCAAAATATATTTTATATTTGATATTCTTCAAAGTAGCCACCCTTTGCTTTGATGACAGCTTTGCACACTCTTGGCATTCTCTCAACCAGCTTCATGAGGTAGTCACCTGGAATGAATTTCAATTAACAAGTGTGTCTTGTTAAAAGTTAATTTGTGGAATTTCTTTCCTTCTTAATACGTTTGAGCCAATAAGTTGTGTTATGACAAGGTAGGGGTGGTATACAGAATATATCCCTATTTGGTAAAATACCAAGTCCATATTATGGCAAGAACAGCTCAAACAAGCAAAGAGAAACGACAGTCCATCATTACTTTAAGACATGAAGGTCAGTCAATCCTGAACATTTCAAGAACTTTGAAAGTTTCTTCAAGTGCAGTTGCAAAAACCATCACGCGATATGATGAAGCTGGGTCTCATGAGGACCGCCACAGGAAAGGAAGACCCAGAGTTACCTTTGCTGCAGAGGATAAGTTCATTAGCGTTACCAGCCTCAGAAATTGCAGCCCAAATAAATTATTCACAGAGTTCAAGTAACACACATCTGAACATCAACTGTTCATAGGAGATTGTGTGAATCAGGCCTTCATGGTTAAATTGCTGCAAAGAAACCACTACTAAAGGACACCACTAAGAAGAAGAGACTTGCTTGGGCCAAGAAACATGAGCAATGGACATTAGACCGGTGGAAATTTGTCCTTTGGTCTGGAGTCCAAATTGGAGATTTTTGGTTCCAACATCTGTGTCTTTGTGAGACGCGGTGTGGGTGAACGGATGAGCTCTGCATGTGTATTTCCCACCGTAAAGCATGGAGGAGGAGATGTTATGGTGTGGGGGTGCTTTGCTGGTGACACTGTCTGTGATTTAGTTACAATTCAAGGCACACTTAACCAGTATGGCTACCACAGCATTCTGCTGCGATATGCAATCCCATCTGGTTTGGTCTTAGTCCCACTATCATTTGTTTTTCAACAGGACAATGACCCAACACACCTCCAGGCTGTGTAAGGGCTATTTTACCAAGAAGGAGAGTGATGGACTGCTGCATCAGATGACCTGGCCTCCACAATCCCCCGACCTTAACGCAATAGAGATGGTTTGGGATGAGTCGGACCGCAGAGTGAAGGAAAAGCAGCCAACAAGTGCTCAGCATATGTGGGAACTCCTTCAAGACTGTTGGAAACGCATTCCAGGTGAAGCTGGTTGAGAGAATGCCAAGTGTGCAAAGCTGTCATCAAGGCAAAGGTTGGCTATTTGAAGAATCTCAAATATAAAATATACACTTTTTTTTGGTTACTACATGATTCCATGTGTGTTATTTCATAGTGTTGAGGTCTTCACTATTAATCTACAATGTAAAAATAGGGAAAATAAAGAAAAACCATTGAATGAGTAGGTGTGTCCAAACTTTTGACTGCCAATACATGGTTAATTTGTAAATTTTTTCGTGGGAACATTTTTCATCCATAAAATGAAGTTCATGGGAGAGAAAAAAAGAAAAAAACGTCATATTTTTCTCATTGATTTTATATAACATCCCTAAAAGGTATAAATAGCAAATTATCAATGAAGTGTCTAGTGTTTGTCAATGTAACTTGTCTATAGTGTAATGTACTTTTTTGGGGGTCTTTTTGTTGTATATTGTTTTGCACAATGTTTGTGAGATGTAATACAAAAACAACAACTTGTACAAGTTATGTTATCTAGTACAGTATCAGGTAGCTAATGTAATGTTGTCAACAATTTGATAGCTAGTTAGCTAACAGTTGTGGTATGGCCAAAGATATTTATAACTAACCCAAGATAGACTATAGCCTGTCGTTTCCATTGGTAGCAAATTAATCATAGGTGGCAGAACAAGCAAGGAGGTGGGCAGAGCCAAGCACGAGCTTGTGAGATCCCATTGGTGCATTCTAGCATTTATTTGCATATTTCCGTTAGGGAACCCCTACTCTGAAGTGCGCGTGTGCAATAAATCAATTAGCCTTGCACTCCTTCTAAACACTTTTTTTTTTTTTTTACTGGCAAAGGGTGAAGTTTACAAAACGCGTTCCACTCTGTTACAGATTTTAGTTTTGGGAAACAGAAAACTGTATGGAGATCAAATGTTTCATAGATGGAAAATTAGCAGAATGTTGGCCAAAATCCATCTTCTGGGCTTCTTTGCATCACCATATTTGGTAGTGAGTGGAAACGCCAAGCGGATGCTTCACATTTATACATCCTGTGAAATATCTGCGTCATTGTTCTATCTGTGGTATGGCTGTGATAAGAGTTTACTGTACGTTCTCCATCAGATAGCTATGTCATCATTGCCATCTCACACCCCTTGTTTCATTGCCAAATGCCAATTGATCAGTACTTGGACGTCACGAGTAGCATTACCTACAGTACATTTGACAAGTGAATTGTGTTAACGGTAGCTACTTCCTCAATAACAAGGTTACTTTCTTGACTTGAGCCTTTGACTTTCTGGAGCCCTTGACACACTGTAATTATTAAATGTGGTGTCTTAAAGGCCTGTATTAACCTATCCTAATTGTTACTTTGCAGGAAATGGCCATACTGTATTTCAAGTTCATGAAATTCAAATTGCAGTTGTGATTCTGAATAATCCGTGATTCATTCAAGAGTTCTGATCACTTTGTAGCCAATGCCAAGAATGTGTTCAATAACATTCTCTAACCCACTCAGTCACACTTGGCTTTGATTAAACTGAAATGCATTGGAAAAACAATAAGTGAATGTAAAATTACTCCTCTCTCTCGCTCGCTCCAGATGTGAAGGTGCCATCTTGCTGCGTGCCATGAGTAACAGCCACCCCCTGCGGTCACTGACCTCCGTGTCAGAGATAGACCACCTGCACCTGCTGTCAGAGCACCTGGGCGCCCTGGTGTCCGGCGAGGAGTACAGCGATGTCACCTTTGTCGTCGAGGGGAAGCGCTTCCCTGCCCATCGGGTCATCCTTGGCGTCACGGTGCCAATATTTCAGGTAACTAGGGCTGTGATGGTTGTTGGTCAGCCAAATTACCACGGTCACGGTAATATGTTTTTAAAGATTATATTTTTAAGACCCACATTTTATCCTCTCCTCGGTTCCTGACTGCATGTGCTGCTGCTGCAGGAGGGGGCATTGCCTAGGCAACTGAATACTTGTTTGCTTCAACATCTTGCTTGTTTCAGTAAGGAGCAATAAAGTTTCATGTCCATGTTAGTGTAGAGTCCATGTTGCAGCAGAAACTGACTCAACCGCACTAATCCCCGGCCGTCCCGTTTGTCAGCTGTTATGAGGGTTATTTTGTTTTCATGACGGTCTTCATCCATAACCGTTGGTTACACAGTTATACAGTAATTGTGCCAAACCTACTAGTGAATACAGGTTACTTTAGTCATTGTCTCTGAAGTCTAAACCATGAGTAGGCAAGGCTGGGTCGTGTTCATTAGGGCACAAAGATTAGCGCATTCTAGCCTATTGGTCAAGGTAATCCCTCCCTGTTTGGTGCCTAATGAACACAACCCTGGTCCTTGTATCATAACCAATGTATCCATTTGGGATTGACCCAACTAGCCTATTTGAATCAGGTGCTGCAGTGCTTGAAGGTGCACCCAGCTCCCTACCACTAATTTACACAAACCTGACAAGCGTCCATCCCTCTTCCATCCCTCCGCAGAGCCATGCTCTTTAATGGCATGAAGGAGTCCCAGCCCCAGGCCGAGGTGCCCCTGGAGGACACGCAGGCCGAGGCGTTCTCCATGCTCCTGCAGTACCTGTACACGGGCCGTGCCAGCCTGAGTACAGCCCGCGAGGACGTTTTACTGGACTTCCTGGGCCTGGCGCACCGCTATGGCCTCCAGCCACTAGAGGACAGCACCTGTGAGTTCCTGCGCACGGCGCTGCACACGCAGAACGTATGCATGGTGTACGATGTGGCCAGCCTCTACTGCCTGGGGGGCCTGGCGCAGGCGTGCCTTGCCTACATGGACCGGAAGGCGCCTGAGGTGCTGGCGTCAGACTGCTTCCTCACTCTCTCTAAGGTGAGACAGTGGAATGGAAGGATGATGTAGAAACACCTAGTAATAAAGTATATGGATAGGTGGATAAAAGGTAAAACTGTATGATGTATGAAAGAAGTTGAAAAGGTATGATGAGATTGGATGGCTGGACGAATGAACAGTTGAAAGACGTTATGATGAAGGTATGGTAGGATGGATGGATGAAAGAAAGTATGATTCATGGATGTATAAAAGATGACACTATGTTATGGTGGATGGATGAAAGCAGGTCTGATGGATTTAGATAAAACAGGTCCATGTCCTTTCTCCCCCTCCGTGCAGACTGCTCTTCTGGCCGTGGTGCGGCGGGACTCGTTCGCCGCCACCGAGCGGGAGATCTTCCAGGCGTTGTGCCGCTGGTGCCGGCACAACGGCAACAACGAGGTGGCAGCACAGGAAGTGATGTCGGCAGTGCGCCTGCCCCTCATGAGCCTGATGGAGATGCTAAACGTGGTGCGTCCTTCTGGCCTCGTCAGTCCCGACAACTTGCTCGACGCCATCCAGACACGCTCTGAGAGCCGCGACATGGACCTTAACTACCGAGGCATGCTCAGTGAGTAACCGGCCAACTATCCAGCCATAATAACACTAATGAACGTGGATATCAAAATCTTTGGTAAAACTGCGGTGGTGTGTCTACTTGTTGAAAGTACACTGAACAAAAATATAAAAAAAACATGCAACAATTTCAAAGAATTTTTACTGAGTTACAGTTCATAGAAGGGAATCAGTCAATTGAAATAAATTCATTAGGCCCTAATCTATGGATTTCACATGACTGGGAATACAGATATGCATCTGTTGGTCACAGATTCCTTAAAAAAAAGATAGGGGCGTTGATCAGAAAACCAGTCAGTATCTGTTGTGACCACCATTTGCCTCATGCAGCGCGACACATCTCCTTCACATAGATTTGATCAGGCTGTTTGTTGAATGTGGCCTGTGGAATGTTGTCCCACTCCTCTTCAATGGCTGTGCGACATTGCTGAATATTGGCGGGAACTGGAACACGCTGTCGTACACGTCAATCCAGAGCATCCCAAACATGCTCAATGGGTGACATCTGAGTATGCAGGCCATAGAAGAAATTGTGTACACATCCTTGCGCCATGGCCGTACATTATCATGCTGAAACAGGAAGTGATGGCGGCAGATGAATGGCACGACAATGGACCACAGGATCTCGTCACGGTATCTCTGTGTATTCAAAATGCCATCGATTTAAAATGCAATTGTGTTCGTTGTCCGTAACTTATGCCTGCCCGTACCATAACCCCACCGCCACCATGGGGCACTCTGTTCACAATGTTGACATCAGCAAACCGCTCGCACACACGACACCATACATGCTATCTGACATCTGCCCGGGACAGTTGAAACCGGGATTCATCCGTGAAGAACACACTTCGCCAGTGGCCATCGAAGGTGAGCATTTGCCCACTGAAGTCGGTTACGACGTAGAACTGCAGTCAGGTCAAGACCCTGGGGAAGACAACAAGCACACAGATGAGCTTCCCTGAGACGGTTTCTGACAGGTTGTGCAGAAATTCTTCGGTTGTGCAAACCCACAGTTTCCTCATCTGTCCGGGTGGCTGGTCTTGGACGATCCCGCAGGTGAAGAAGCCGGATGTGGAGGTCCTGGGCTGGCGTGGTTACACGTGGTCTGCGGTTGTGTGGCCTGCTGGCCATACGTTGGAGGTGGCTTATGGTAGAGAAATTAACATTACATTCTCTTGCAACAGCTCTGGTGGACATTCCTGCAGTCAGCATGCCAATTGCGTACGCTCTCAAAACTTGAGACATCTGTGGCGTTGTGTGACAGAACTGCACATTTTAGTGGCCTTTTATTGTCCCCAGCACAAGGTGTACCTGTGTAATGATCATGCTGTTTAATCACCACCTTGATATGCCACACCAGTAAGGTGGATGGATTATCTTGGCAAAGGAGAAATGCTCACTAACAGGGACGTAAACAATTTTGTGCAAAGAAATTGAGCGAAATAAGCTTTGTGTGTATGGAACATTTCTGGGATCTTTTATTTCAGCTCATGAAACATGGGAACAACATGTTGCGTTTTATATTTTTGTTCAGTATATGTTGAGCCTATTCCTGGACTAAAAAGCACATATATAATTGAGCATGCTTTCTAGTCAGCACCTGTATTGAAAATCACATGTTGCGTTTATTTTTGTTCAGTATAAATGGATTGTATAAATGGAAAAGAGATTGATTAGTAAACGTGACGAGTTCACATTTGACAATATTTTCCTTTGTCCAGCATTAACTGGGTAGCATTTTTTGAGCATTTAGCAATGCTAATAAAAACTGATGGTATCTGCTGTGAGGATCGGGTTGTGCTTCCCCTTTTCACCTCTTTCCTATGCTTTTGAATGCACCACTCGTTGATACCAAAAGTGACCTAAACTGTGCCCCTTGACCAACCCCCTCCCCCCCACCCCCCCCACCAGTCCCTGAGGAGAACATTGCCACCATGAAGCACGGCGCCCAGGTGGTGAAGGGTGAGCTGAAGTCAGCGCTGCTGGACGGAGACACGCAGAACTATGACCTGGACCACGGCTTCTCCCGGCACCCCATCGAGGAGGACGGCCACGGGCGCGCAGGCATCCAGGTCAAGCTGGGCCAACCCTACATTGTCAACCACGTACGCTTGCTGCTGTGGGACCGCGACAACCGGTAACAACACCATTGGGAATCGGGGAGGGGGATTGTGAAGTTTTTAGACAAAAATAGTTGGTGGTGAAGTTTTTTTATTGCAATTGCGCATCCCCATAATATTGCTATATGATATTAATGCAGTTCCTGAGATGAACACTTCAGCCGGTTCTAGATCTGATCTATGCATTGCAACTGCAAAAAAAGACGACCCCGTAACACCTTTCAAACCTGGGTGAAATGCTTCATTCATGTTAGGCAGTCTGAATGCTCACTATTCTGCTAGTATTTTCTTCTTTTGAAATTGATTTTGATGGATTCTATTTCCATATATTAATGCATCTGTTGGATTGTGACAAGAAATTAGTATGGCCCTAAGCATACATTTGTGATATTGTACATCACTCTTTCTCTCTATCTAGGTCGTACTCTTACTATGTAGAGGTGTCTATGGATGAGCTGGACTGGGTGCGTGTTGTGGACCACTCCAAGTTCCTCTGTCGTTCCTGGCAGAGTGTATTCTTCACAGCGCGTGTCTGCAGGTAAATTAACACACAGAGACAGGACCGCAAAGCAAAACCTTGCTTCCCCCTCTGTTATGAATTTGAATTTTGAAAATCATTGTAAATAAGAATGTGTATTTAACTGAATTGCCTGGTTAAATTAATGAAGTTGAATTTTTTCAATGGGGGGTAAAATGACAACTGTGGATGTATTTGGTTAAATATGAGGATCTAGCATAATGCACCTATAGACTTGTTGTATGATATGGTGTCTTTACGTAGATACAGTTCCGCTTCTTGACTCATGAGCTGTTTTGTGTCTTACAGGTATGTACGCATCGTGGGGACACACAACACCGTGAACAAGGTGTTCCACCTGGTGGCCTTCGAGTGCATGTTCACACAGCGACGATACATTCTGGAGAAAGGACTCCTGGGTGAGGATGTTTTTCTGTCAGTTGTTGGGGATATTTTCATAGCTTTTCTATTAGGGATTTTGATGAAAACTGATCTGGAGATAGTTTTGTTTGTTTAGGTACGGCAATACTGAACGTCCATAGAGATATTAAGGGCTGGTTTACTGAACCTATACGGAACAAAAATATAAACGCAACATCCAAAAATTCAAAAGATTTTACTGAGTTATAGTTCATATAAGGAAATCAGGCAATTTAAGTAAATGCATTAGGCCTTAATCTATGGATTTCACATGACTGGGAATACAGATACCTTAAAAAAACAAAAGATTGGGCGTGTATCAGAAAGCCAGTCAGTATCTGGTGTGACCACCATTTGCATCATGCAGCACGACACATCTCCTTCGCATAGAGTTGATCATGCTGTTGATTGTGCTCTTCAATGGCTGTGCGAAGTTGCTGGATATTGGCGGGAACTGGAACACACTGTCGTACACGTCCATCCAGAGCGTCCCAAACATGCTCAATGGTTGACATGTCTGGTGAGTATGCAGGCCATGGAAGAACTGGGACATTTTCAGCTTCCAGGAATTGTGTACAGATCCTTGCGACATGGAGGCGTGCATTATCATGCAAAAACATGAGGTGATGGCGGCGGCGGAATGGCACGACAATGGGCCTCACAATCTTGTCACGGTATCTCTGCGCATTCAAATTGCCATCGATAAAATGCAATTGTGTTCGTTGTCCGTAGCTTATGCCTGCCCATACCATAACCCCACCGCCACTATGGGGCACTCTGTTCACACCGTTGACATCAGCAAACCGCTCGCCCACACGGCGCCGTCTGCCATCTGCCCGGTAAAGTTGAAACCGGGATTCATCCTTGAAGAGCACACTTCTCCAGCGTGCCAGTGGCCATCGAAGGTGAGCATTTGCCCACTGAAGTCGGTTACGACGCCGAACTGCAGTCGGGTCAAGACCCGGGTGAGGAATGACGAGCACGCAGATGAGCTTCCCTGAGACTGTTTCTGACAGTTTGTGCAGAAATTATTCGGTTGTGCAAACCCACAGTTTCATCAGCTGTCCGGGTGACTGGTTTCAGACGATCCCACAGGTGAAGAAGACTGATGTGGAGGTCCTGGGCTGGCATGGTTACACGTGGTCTACGGTTGTGAGGTCGGTTGAAGCTACTGCCAAATTCTTTAAAATGACATTGGAGGCGGCTTATGGTAGGGAAATGAACATTAAATTCTCTGGCAACAGCTTTGGTGGACATTCCTGCAGTCAGCATGCCAATTGCACGCTCCCTTAACTTGAGGCATCTGTGTTGTGACAACTGCACATTTTAGTGACCTTTTATTGCCCCCAGCACAAGGTGCACCTGTCAATCAATCAATCAATCAATCAATGAAATGTATTTATAAAGCCCTTTTTACATCAGCAGATGTCACAAAGTGCTATACAGAAACTCAGCCTAAAACCCCAAACAGCAAGCAATGCAGATGTAGAAGCACAGTGGTTAGGAAAAACTCCCTAGAAAGGCAGAAACCTAGGAAGAAACCTAGAGAGGAACCAGGCTCTGATGGGTGGCCAATCCCCTTCTGGCTGTGCCGGGTGGAGATTATAACAGTACATGGCCATTAAGGGCAGATTTTTCTCGAAGATGTTCAAACGTTCATAGATGACCAGCAGGGTCAAATAATAATCACAGTGGCTGTAGAGGTTGCAACAGGTCAGTACATCAGGAGTAAATGTCACTTGGCTTTTCATAGCCGGGCATTTAGAGGTTGAAATAGAGGTAGGTAGAGAGCGAGAGAGGCGTACAGGCACGTCTGGGTTCCATAGGCAGAAGAGTTGTGTATTGGTCATGCTGTTTAATCAGCTTCTTGATATTGTCATGACTCATGTGATGGTTCCACGTGTGAAGCCCAAGATCAGAATACAGAGAAGCAACAGTCTACAGATCTCTCGCAGAACAAAGGAGGGATTGATAGGGGGGTTGGGGTTTATCACCCCTTCGCCAAATGGTTTGGAGCAAATGACTCCTAGTTGGTCCCTGGTATTGGCGATCTGAATGTCTCTGAATTGCCGCCCAAAACTCTAAACGTCCAAAGGTGGACACTGGAACAGTATATTTCAACATCCGAATGTTGGGAATGATGAGAGAGGGAATTTGGAAGATTAATGTCTATTTTGTGATGTCATTAAAACTTTATAACGAAAATATTGTACCTTGATGAGCTTTCATAATGTGCATTTCAAGTTTGCATCCGTTACAATGTGTAGGAAATATCCAGGAAGAAGATAATATTTTTGATGATTTTGTTTCTCCAATGAAATCATAGTGTTCAAAATACTTTGCCCCAGTAACTAGCCACGCCCACGGGAGCTCAGAAAGAGTGTCTGCATGACGTAAACGCCCTCTTTACCAGAGTGCATAAAAGACTGAGTTAAGAATTAACAAACCAGACCAGCCGACATGCAGCACGAGCTGAATATGGCAAAATGGTTTAAACGCTACAGACCAGGGAGACTAGACAGACCTCAAGCTACAGGGAGGTTCATATTGGTCCCGACCCTGAAAATCAACACGAGGTGAAAACTACAAAGTCGCCTCTCTAACAATCAATGTTACGGCTGAGTAGCTGTTCTAAGTACTGTATCTAAGAAGGTGAATTTAAGTGGGACCATCCTGTTACTCTCTTCAAACCATCGTCTACTACACTGCTCTCATCACCCCACTGGGGATCATCGACACGGCTGATTAGCCATCCTCAGAAAACCACTTCCAGAACGAGTGAAAGTAATCAGACAGCTAAGAAGGACATTGTGACCTCTTGTGTCAGTTCGGGGCAAGGTATTAGGATTACTGTGAGCGTAGTTCGATGTGTAGTCAAGTGTTGTCTCTCTCACACTCACTCTCACTCACTCACTTGCCATCTGTTGTAACAAGTGTCATATTGTGTTAGCCCGCTAGGGACCCGTTTTCATTGTATTAAATTGTAATCCCTAACCTATACGTGTTTATCTTGTGTTATAATTTTTAATTAGTTAGTAAATAAATAATTTAATACATTTGTGTGGTACGGAATGATCAGTAAGACCCGGGTTTGTGCAGATTTAAAGAGTCTACGACTTTCAGAATGAGACTGATATGAAGTTAATGATTAATAAATTACTAAGAAATTATAGATATCTAGGTATCTTTAGAGTTAATTTGGGAAACAGTAACTCGTTAAACAACTTTTCCTGCGGTGCCGCAAATTCCTAATGAGTTAATTGTTACATGATTTAATTTAATCTAGTAACAATTAAACATAGTAGGTAATTATTTGATAAATAATAGTCATCAGAATAATGAAAGTCACGTCACGACAATATGCCACACCAGTCAGGTGGATGGATTATATTGGCACAGGAGAAATGCTCGCTAATAGGGACATAAACAATTTTATGCCCAAAAATTGAGCGAAATAAGCTTTTTGTGTATATGGAACAGATCTGGGATCTTTTTATTTCAGCTCATGAAACATGGGAACAACGCTTTACATGTTGCGTTTATATCTTTGTTCAGTATATGTTGAGCCTATTCCTGGACTAAAAAGCACACATAATTGAGCATGCTTTCTAGTCAGCACCTGTTTTCAAAATGTCTCAGGGTTGGAGTGCTGATCAAGTATCTGGTCCTCCTTGTCCATATAATCTTATTCATTATGATCTAAAAGGAAAAAATGTATCCAATATCAGCACTCCTACTCTGTTACTTTGTGAATATGGTCCCAGTACTAGGCTTAATCTGGGGTCTGGGAAACTGGACCTATTTTATGTAAGAAACCTCTTTTGGACCTTAGCAGCCCAAGGTGATTAAGCTACTAGCCAAATCACTCACTCACCTCTTTTCCTCCATTCCCCTCTCCACCCCCTACTCAAGTCCCCGACCATAACGTGGCCACCATCGCGTGCGGGGCCAGTGTGATCGAGGGTGTGAGCCGGAGCCGCAACGCCCTGCTCAACGGGGACACCTCCAACTACGACTGGGACTCGGGCTACACCTGCCACCAGCTTGGCTCAGGGGCCATCGTCATCCAACTGGCCCAACCCTACATGTTGGGCTCACTCAGGTAAGGGGGCTGTGCCTGAAATGGCACCCTATATAGTGCACTACTTTAGCCAGAGTTGAGTCCATTGTCATCCAGCTGGCCCAGCCCTACATGGTGGGCTCCCTCAGGTAGGGGGAGTGACAGAGACCCTGCACTCAATATCAGTTCAATGGTTTGTTGTGTGTGTTTCTGGACAGACTGCTGCTCTGGGACTGTGATAACCGCAATTACAGTTACTACATCGAGCTGTCCACCAACCAGCAGCAGTGGACCAAGGTGGTGGACCGTACCAAAGTGGCTTGCAGGTGAGAATGCGAATCCCCCTGTTTCAATGTAGTCTTCTCCTGTCTTTCTCTCTGTTATTTGCTTACTGTTATGTTTTTTTTGTGGGCAACTGTAAATTGTAAGTTTCCACTGTAGGGAAACATGGACAAGGAAAAATAATGGAGCCTTTTTTATAGGGTTGTGAAGATACCAGTATCTCGTTACCAAAAAAAGAACTTGAAGCAGACCAAACTATTTGGTCCTTTTAAAAACCTGCTTTATGTCGAATGGTATGTGCTATAGCTTGGAAAGTAAACAAATGTGACTCAACATAATGATGTTAGTTTCCAACATTAGGTCTGCTTTCCTCAAGAAATTAAATCTGCTTCATGTTTTTTATTTTCTTATGACCTCTTTGGTTTCCTTGATACTGGTATCATCACAAGCCTACCTTTTTGACTGTCAAGGTTTTGGTTGCTCTACAACTACTTAAATGTTGCAGGAGTAGCATACTATCTAACAATTTTAGATTGGCCTTAAAAAAGAAAAGACAGTCACTTAAGTTTTTATGACCATGTTTGTTTCCATCGATCAAACTAAAGATCTGTTGGTCATACAATTACTCTAGAATGTAACAAGAAAAGACAACGATGAGTCAGTCACTGATATACACTACCGTTCAAAAGTTTTGGTTTACTTAGAAATGTCCTTGTTTTAGAAAGAAAAGCAATTTTTTGTCCAGTAAAATAACATCAAATTGATCAGAAATCCAGTGTAGACATTGTTAATGTTGTAAATGGCTATTGTAGCTGGAAACGGCTGATAAAAAACAAATGGAATATCTACATAGGGCGTACAGAGGCCCATTATCAGCAACCATCAGTCCTGTGTTCCAATGGCACGTTGTGTTTGCTAATCCAAGTTGATAATTTTAAAAGGCTAATTGATCGTTAGAAAACCCTTTTGCAATTATGTTATCACAGCAGAAAACTGTTGTTCTGATCGTGGTCCTCTGTAGCTCAGCTGGTAGAGCACGGCGCTTGTAACGCCAAGGTAGTGGGTTCGATCCCCGGGACCACCCATACACAAAAAAAAATGTATGCACGCACGACTGTAAGTCGCTTTGGATAAAAGCGTCTGCTAAATGGCATATTATTATTATTATTATTATTTATTATTATTAAAGAAGCAATAAAACTGGCCTTCTTGAGACTAGTTGAGTATCTGGAGCATCAGCAATTGTGGGTTCGATTACAGGCTCAAAATGGCCAGAAACGAATAACTTTCTTCTGAAACTCGTCAGTCTATTCTTGTTCTGAGAAATGAAGGCTAAATTGCCAAGAAACTGAAGATCTCGTACAACGCTGTGTAATACTCCCTTCATAGAACAGCGCAAACTAGCTCTAACCAGAATAGAAAGAGTGGGAGGCCCCGGTGCACAACTGAGCAAGAGGACAAATACATTAGTGTCTAGTTTGAGAAACAGACGCCTCACCCGCAAAACACCAGTCTCAACGTCAACAGTGAAGAGGCGACTCCGGGATGCAGACCTTCTAGGAAGAGTTGCAAAGAAAAAGCCATATCTCAGACCAATAAAAAGAAAATATTAAGATGGGCAAAAGAACACAAACACTGGACAGAGGAAGATTGGGGAAAAAAAAGTGTTATGGACAGACAAATCGAAGTTTGAGGTGTTCGGATCACAAAGAATAACATTTGTGAGACGCAGACCAAATGAAAAGATGCTGGAGGAGTGCTTGATCCCATCTGTCAAGCATGGTGGAGGCAATGTGATGGTCTGGGGGTGCTTTGGTGGTGGTGAAGTGGGAGGTTTGTACAGGATAAAAGGGATCTTGAAGAAGGAAGGCTATCACTCCGTTTTGCAACGCCATGCCATACCCTGTGGACGGCGCTTGATTGGAGCCAATTTCCTCCTACAACAGGACAATGACCCAAAGCACAGCTCCAAACTATGCAAGAACTACACTGCTCAAAAAAATAAAGGAACACTAAAATAACACATCCTAGATCTGAATGAATGAAATAATCTTATTAAATACTTTTTTCTTTACATAGTTGAATGTGCTGACAACAAAACACACAAAAATTATCAAGGAAAATCAAATGTATCAACCCATGGAGGTCTGGATTTGGAGTCACCCTCAAAATTAAAGTGGAAAACCACACTACAGGCTGATCCAACTTTGATGTAATGTCCTTAAAACAAGTTAAAATGAGGCTCAGTAGTGTGTGTGGCCTCCACGTGCCTGTATGACCTCCCTACAACGCCTGGGCATGCTCCTGATGAGGTGGCGGATGGTCTCCTGAGGGATCTCCTCCCAGACCTGGACTAAAGCATCCGCCAACTCCTGGACAGTCTGTGGTGCAACGTGGCGTTGGTGGATGGAGCGAGACATGATGTCCCAGATGTGCTCAATTGGATTCAGGTCTGGGGAACGGGCGGGCCAGTCCATAGCATCAATGCCTTCCTCTTGCAGGAACTGCTGACACACTCCAGCCACATGAGGTCTAGCATTGTCTTGCATTAGGAGGAACCCAGGGCCAACCGCACCAGCATATGGTCTCACAAGGGGTCTGAGGATCTCATCTCGGTACCTAATGGCAGTCAGGCTACCTCTGGCGAGCACATGGAGGGCTGTGCGGCCCCCCCAAAGAAATGCCACCCCACACCATGACTGACCCACCGCCAAACCGGTCATGCTGGAGGATGTTGCAGGCAGCAGAACGTTATCCACGGCATCTCCAGACTCTGTCACATGTGCTCAGTGTGAACCTGCTTTCATCTGTGAAGAGCACAGGGCGCCAGTGGCGAATTTGCCAATCTTGGTGTTCTCTGGCAAATGCCAAACGTCCTGCACTGTGTTGGGCTGTAAGCACAACCCCCACCTGTGGACATCGGGCCCTCATACCACCCTCATGGAGTCTGTTTCTGACCGTTTGAGCAGACACATGCACATTTGTGGCCTGCTGGAGGTCATTTTGCAGGGCTCTGGCAGTGCTCCTCCTGCTCCTCCTTGCACAAAGGCGGAGGTAGCAGTCCTGCTGCTGGGTTGTTGCCCTCCTACGGCCTCCTCCACGTCTCCTGATGTACTGGCCTGTCTCCTGGTAGCGCCTCCATGCTCTGGACACTACGCTGACAGACACAGCAAACCTTGCCACAGCTCGCATTGATGTGCCATCCTGGATGAGCTGCACTATCTGAGCCACTTGTGTGGGTTGTAGACTCCGTCTCATGCTACCACTAGAGTGAAAGCACCGCCATCATTCAAAAGTGACCAAAACATCAGCCAGGAAGCATAAGAACTGAGAAGTGGTCTGTGGTCACCAACTGCAAAACCAGTCCTTTATTGGGGGTGTCTTGCTAATTGCCTATAATTTCCACCTGTTGTGTCTTCCATTTGCACAACAGCATGTGAAATGTATTGTCAATCAGTGTTGCTTCCTAAGTGGACAGTTTGATTTCACAGAAGTGTGATTGACTTGGAGTTACATTGTGTTGTGTAAGTGTTCCCTTTATTTTTTTGAGCAGTGTATTTAGGGAAGAAGTAGTCAGCTGGTATTCTGTATATAATGGAGTGGCCAGCACAGTCACCGGATCGCAACCCTATTGAGCTGTTGTGGGAGCAGCTTGACCGTATGGTATGTAAGAAGTGCCCATCAAGGCAATCCAACTTGTGGGAGGTGCTTCAGGAAGCATGGGGTGAAATCTCTTCAGATTACCTCAACAAATTGACAACTAGAATGCCAAAGGTCTACAAGGCTGTAATTGCTGCAAATGGAGGATTCTTTGACGAAAGCAAAGTTTGAAGGACACAATTATTTCAATTAAAAATCATTATTTCTAACGTTGTCAATGACTACATTTCCTATTCATTTAGCTATATTTCCTATTCAAACTCATTTCATCTATGTTTTCATGGAAAACAGGCAATTTCTAAGTGACCCCAAACTTTTGAACGGGAGTGTATATTTAACGACTAAACTTTTTGTTTCCATTGATTGAACAAAGATTTGTTCAAACTCCAGCTACTCTGCTCTCATTAAATTGGACACTTTGTCAAATATAAAATGACAAGTTGCATCCCAAATGGCATCCTATTTCCTACATAGTGCACTACCTTTGACCAGGTCCTGTAGGGAATAGGGTGCAAATCGGGACATAACCATAGACATATCAACATTTTATTTATTTATTGGTCCATCCTCTTCGCAGGACAAAAGTATCAAAATATCAACACTGTTTGTCTTGGTTTTGAAGGTCTTGGCAGACGCTGGTGTTTGACAAGCAGCCCGCCTCCTTTGTACGCATCGTGGGGACCCACAACACATCCAACGAGGTGGGGAGAGACGAGCAGGCTCGGGAAGTGAGCTGAACCTCGATGACTCTCACACACCCCTAATGGTGTCCCATAGCTGTCTCTTTCCTTATTTTCTTTTTCCCTCTTCCATTCGTCCCCCTCTCTCTTTCTTGCTCTCACCCCCCTTTCTCCCTTCTACATACCACCTAATTTTTCATCAATATCAAACAAAGTAACACACCTGCCTTTCTTTCTCAGGTCATTTGAATATGCTGTCTGACCACAACCATGTAGAAAAGCATTTAACAATCTAACATGCATAGCTTTAAATGTAACCAAATGTAAACATACTGTCTATGTAACACAATGAAAATCACAGCACTGTATTTTTTATTATTTTTATCTGTACTATGGGGCGGCAGGTAGCTTAGTGGTTAAGAGCGTTGTGCCAGTAACCGAAAGGTCGCTGGCTCTAATCCCAGGGCCGACTAGGTGAAAAATCTGTCGGTGCCCTTGAGCAAGGCACTTAACCCTAATTGCTCCTGTAAGTCGCTCTGGATAAGAGCGTCTGCTAAATGACTAAAATGTACTATAACCTCTCTCTGTCCGTCAGGTGTTCCACTGCGTCCACCTCGAGTGCCCCGCCCAGCTCGACACAGAGGTCAAGGAGGGCAGCCCGAACTCCAAGTCCCCTCCGCTACAGCCCCAGTCCCCCTCACAGTCCCAGCTTCAACTCCCGGCCCGGCCTTCCTCCTCGCCCTCACACTCCCACCCCCACTAAGGGGTATGCCAACCCCAACCTCCCCCCTCAGACTACAGGGGAAAACCACAGAGACTATCCTAGGCATCTCAATGCACACAAGTTTATTTTGTGATGTCCCCCGAAGGTTACTCTACATAATATGCTGCTCAAGTGAAATAAATATATATTTATACGAAATTAAACCCTTGTTGTTGAATGTGATGTTTAAGTTGATGATGATGTCGCACCTGACAAGGTAAAGGCCGACATTTCTTTTTACTTTTCAAGAAGCAGCTGATTCCTCTGATTTAATTACATATTTAACCATCCCATCCATATTCACTCCATTTACAGTACTTTCTCCATGTGTTTGGACTCTAAAGCTAAAATTTTACTTTCAGCTCTCTACTCCAGCGTTTTAGATTTGATGACAAGACAGAATTCAATAACCGACGCATGAATTAATAAAGCATTTATGCAATTAAATGTACATTTAATGGAATCAGATTCACAAACTGGGCAAGACTTTAGATCAAATGATGAACCCTAAATGGTAGGTATAGAGATGGTGGCGAGCTTCTGGCCAATCCGGAACGGACCCCTAGACACCACACCATATGCACTTGTGGACATACTGTAGATCCTACTAAATTACTTTTGATTCTGTATGTAATTCTATGCTTGTGGAGATCTGATAGAAGTTGACAGGTGCAATAGAGTACCACAGTATGAGTCATAATACCCATAAAACCTAGCAGTCAAACAAGGAAACGTTTCCAATAGTTCTTCCACCGTTTGTTTTTCCCCATAGGAGATTTTAGTAACACTTAATAAGAGCTGTGTTTCGTGTAGGGCTTACCCTGGCGTGACGTTTTGAAAACCGTATAAATCTCTACAGGACAAGGTGACTTTTATCAATATATTCGCCTGTATTTACTCCCCAAAAATGAAATGCTAATTAGCTGCTAATGTGGCTATCATAAAGAACTGCAAATGCCATGACGATCTGGAAGAGAAGAGACTGCTGAATCGAGGCAAAGGTAAGAATCTCTAGATTAACTATCTGTTAGCTAATTTATTAATAATTTTAGCTACATTTCTTTAAATTTATAATTTTATAACAGCCTCCACTCTTCTGGGAAGGCTTTCCACTAGATGTTGGAACATTGCTGCGGGGACTTTCTTCCATTCAGCCACAAGAGCATTAGTGAGGTCAGGCACTGATGTTGGGCGATTAGGCCTGGCTCGCAGTAGGTGTTCCAATTCATCCCAAAGGTGTTAAATGGGGTTGAGGTCAGGGCTCTGCAGGCCAGTCAAGTTCATCCACACCGATAAACCATTTCTGTATGGACCTTGCTTTGTGCACGGGGGCATTGTCATGCTGAAACAGGAAAGGGCCTTCCCCAAACTGCTGCCACAAAGTTGGAAGCACAGAATCGTCTATAATGTCAATGTATGCTGTAGTGTTAAGATTTCCCTTCACTGGAACTAAGGGGCATAGCCCAACCATGGAAAAGCAGCCCCAGACCATTATTCCTCCTCCACCAAACTTTACAGTTGGCACTATGCATTGGGGCAGGTAGCGTTCTCCTGGCATCCGCCAAACCCAGATTCGTCAATCGGACTGCCAGATGGTGAAGCGTGATTCATCACTCCAGAGAACACATTTCCACTGCTCCAGAGTCCAATGGTGGTGAGCTTTACACCACTCCAGCCCACGCCTGGCATTGCGCATGGTGATCTTATGCTTGTGTGCGGCTGCTCGGCCATGGAAAATCCATTTAATGAAGCTCCCAACAAACAGTTATTGTGCTGATGTTGCTTCCAGAGGCAGTTTGGAACTCGGTAGTGAGTGTTGCAACCGAGGACTGACGATTTTTACACGCTTCAGCACTTGGCAGTCCCTTTCTGTGAGCTTGTGTGGCTGAGCCGTTGTTGCTCATAGACGTTTCCACTTCACAATAACAGCACTTACAGTTGACCGGGGCACCTCTAGCAGGGCAGAAATTTGACGAACTGACTCGATGGAAAGGTGGCATCCAATGACGGTGCCACGTTGAAAGTCACTGAGCCCTTCAGTAAGGCCATTCTACTGCCAATGTTTGTCTATGGAGATTGCATGGCGGTGTGCTCGATTTTATACACGTCAGCAACGGGTCTGGCTGAAATAACCGAATACACTAATTTGAAGGGGTATCCACATACTTTTGTATATATAGTGTACCTACTAGGTCAATTCTATTTTTCTATCTTCCTCAGTCTCAAGTAATGACAAGCTAACGTTACTTCTCCTTTGCTAGCTAGCCAATTAAATCCATATCGCGGAAATTCAGAGTTGCAGTGTAACACAATCACATCAAGCAGCTGAAATGTCAGCAAACGGTGCATTATCATTTGTTTTACCTTAGTTTCTATTGCAAATTCTTTGGATATATCCATTATAATAATGATCCTGATAAATGAATTTGCCTGGATCTGAGAAGCTGTCAGTCTTGTCACGTTCATATGTATAGCACGGTGGAGATGACAAACAAAAAGACTGCAACATAGGTCGGATAGGCACACAGGCTTATATTAACCCCTGCTGTACCAAACCAAATGCTTGGCTATTAGCATGGGGAATAAATATTGTCTAGCCCAATTCTGATTATTTTCCCAATGAATGTTTATGCCAATAGTTCAGAATTGGGCTGCCTGTGTAAATACAGCCATAGTGCTGACCTTGGTTCATTCTATTTCCCTAAATGGTTGGAAGTATACAGAAATGTATGACTTTTATTTTTGTTGGTCAGCATCTCAATTTGGTGGGGTGGGGGTCGTACCTACTCATTTTATTGGCTTTTTAAAGAGTCAAACATCTGCTATAAGACAGCAGATTGCTAAGACTTGTTTATGCAGATTTAACATCTCATGCTTTTGGTCTGATAACTGCCAGGGGGGAGGATGATAGTTTTCTTTTGGATAGCCTGTAATGTATTTTCCCCTTATACCCTGGAATAAAATCTGTTCACTCAAATATTTCACTGTCAATTTCTGTTATCAACCTACTAATTAAGCATATGGCCATAAATGACATCAAAGACTTGCTTTCTCCTTGACAATATTCTGGCAACAAACTTGGAAGACACACTCGCAACACAGTCGAGTCTTCAGTTCCACATTACGACAGTAGAGGCCACTCAAGTGACAAATGACAGCAAAAACAGATTATTTTGGAGAAATTGCAGTACCATGGGTTAGTTATATAGATCTTTGGCAGTAGTGTTGATAGTTGATTTGGTTTTACTACAAATTAGCATTGTATTTATTTGCAATGCTGCCATTTACTTTCCACTCAAGGATTGTGAGAGATGGTGGGTAAAGTTGTGCTAGTTAGCTAATGTAGCAAATCATGTGATGCAAGGAATGGCAGAGAGCTAGCTCAATACATTTTGGTTATAAAAAGTAACTAGTGGAGATGTGAAACAGGTGTTTATACTTTGGCTAAAACCTAGCTTTTATATTTGTTTATTTAGCTATACAAACCAGCTAAAACTGCACACCTCTGAGAACAAGCCATCTCAACCAATTGACAGCTAATTATGCTAGACAGCTAAATCAAGGGTGAGGAAGGGTGAGAGAGACATCCACACGAGCTTGGCCATCCACACAAAGTGTGCAATTATTGAACTGGGAACATTTTCACGCTGTGAGAAATTTTACAACATGACGTCACAATCACAACACAATCAGAATGATTGGGAACTATTTCCTGCTGGGAAGATTTTTACATGACACCGCAGGCATTGTGACATCAACTCGGAACTCGCCTGCTATGATATTCTCCTGTGGAATACTGAAATACCAACATTCTGATTCTGTGTTGCACTTGCTGAATTAACGCACCAAATGAAAGGCCACGTTTACCGCACAGAGGAAAGTATTTTAACCTTTTCATGCGAGTTCCAAATATCTCTAACAGTTGCCCCAGCGTGAGTTTCTTTATGTGCGTGATGTCACAATGCACTCACTGTTCCAAAATGTGATTGTTACGCAACAGGACAGTTAACCCGCGCTGCCCTCAAACCAAAGCATGCTGCCTGCTAGTTATCTATAGGCTATGTTTCAACTTGTCAATTTCCAATTATTTTCTAACTGTTTGAATTGAGTTGTGTTCTGCCTCCTCATTAATTCGCATAAGAAGTAGGCCATTTCACTGTGGCGGACAATTTATGTTTGAGGCTTTACTGAGAGCCCAAGCACTTCCCCAGATCAAGTATGAAGACATTGTGCATCTCTAGTCAGAACAGGCCTTGCGCAAATGTTTTCCCCCTGGCACATTTTCTGGCTGGCACCTGCATTGCCTTCATTATTGTTTTCCTTACAAATAATAACTTTGGACATGTGTGTGTTCCTATCAAAGTAAGTGCCTTACTTTCTGTATATCGTGTTGTCGTTTTTACTTTAGCAAACCATATGTATGTATGGAGCATAATGTATTTACTGTTTTATTCCAATGTTTTCATGTACTGGTGACAAATCATGCATTCCGATTCTTGCATAGATTTTAATGGACACATATAATGTGTGTAAAATACTTTTTTGAAGGTTGTACTGAGTATGATGAGCTAATGCTAAGCTATTTGCCAGCTATGTATGGCACCATGTTTGTTGACATCATACAATGCATTCTGGTTATCACACAGTGG